GCTGTCGCCGCGCTGCCAGCTTGCGCTGGCGAGGTAAGGGGGCGTTTCCAGAAGTTGGGTTTTCAGGTGACGCGTGGGGAAACTTGGATTTTTGCCGAGGTGACTTGGGAAATGGGAGTTGATTCAGAATCCCTGTGTGTTGTGAAAACTCACCTCCGGTTATTTCCAGAGGATGAGGGAGGAATGAGCTGAAGTGTTGGCGTTGTCCAAGACTCAGCTGAAGACCGGAGGGAGGGAGGAGGTCCTGGCGAAATGGATCCCCAAATGACAAGCACCCCGGCACTCTTAAGTCCCATTCACTTCGGCGTCTAATAGTACCTGGGTGTGCTGAGCTGTGGCACTCGCCAGGTTGTGCGCTATCGCCCCTTCTCTGGAGTTTGGACTTAGCGACTTCCTAGGAATGAGTGGTGGGGGGAATCTTTGCTTTTTAAAAAAAATGTTTTTATTGATTTCAGGGAGGAAGTGGGGGGAGAGAGAGAGAGAGATAGAAACATCAACGATCAGGAGACTCATTGATTGGCTGCCTCCTGCACGTCCCACGAACCCACAACCTGGACATGTGCCTTGACCTGTAATCTAACCGGGACCCCCTGGTTCATAGGTTCATGCTCAACCGCTAAGCCACGCGGGAATTTTTACTTTTAAAATAGATTGTGACTTTTGCTTTGCGAAGGGGCAGGGGAAGTGTGTGTTTGCTGACCAGCAATCAACTGAATGGAGGAACGTACCGGCCTTGGCTTCTTACTGAAATGTTGCCACAGTATTTGAGATCATGTCAGCGCTTTGGGGCTTCATCGTTGGAGAGGCTTCCAGGGATCACAGAAAGGGATCACGGTGGGAGGAGGGTGGGAAAGCTTCTATCTGGGAGCTGTGCCCTGTGATGTCAGGGGCTAGGCTGCTCCTTCCTTGTCCGCTTCATTAAGTGCCTCCACTGTGAATGTCAGCCGGCCTTCCTGGCTTGCTGATTCGTGATGTCCATACAAACTCCGAGGAGAGGTCCTGGCTGTGACAAGCGGCCATGAGGACAGAAGGCACACCTGCATGGATGCTGGAGTTTTCATTGAGCCCTAGGACTGTGGAAAGCACCCAGAGCCCAAGGTACATTTCTCTAAAATTAGCATTAATGTACTAATTTAGGAGAGAAATGGGTTGCAGAAAGCCTCCATCCATTTTGTAAAGTTCCCACTTGAATCACAGAAACGCAGGGCTCCTCAGATGGGGGGAGTCACTGGTTTCCCTCTGTCTTTGTGCCCGCTCTTTTTGGTATTGGTGTTGCACTTCTTCCTCTGCAGGGAAAGTGAGCTTTTTTAGTTGACCTTGTTGTATGAGTACTGGGCATATTCCTTACAGGCAGAGGATCATATGTGTGTGTCTTTAATTCACCTACTGCTAAAACTATTTGTTCACTTCCCTAGATTATTTTTAAGCGAAATCAAGTTTTATAAAGAGGTCTGTGTGTGTGTGTGTGTGTGTGTGTGTGTGTGTTATTTTTGAGTCCAGTTTCGCTTATATTTCTAAATTATAGTGATTTCCCCACTCCTCCACTCCTTCTCAGCATATCATTAGTTCCTAAGAGCAGTTAAAGATGGTTACAGGCCCTTGCCCTTTTAGCTCAGTGGATAGAGCATCAGCCCTTGGACTGAAGGGTCCTGGGTTTGATTCTGGTCAAGGGCATGTACCTTGGTTGCAGGCTCAATCCCCCACCCTCTAAAAATCAATGGAAAAACTATCCTCGGGTGAGGATGAACAACAATAACCACAAAGATGGTTACAGGTGGTAAACAATATACATTTTTAACAACTGTGCATGGAAAAAAATCTATACATCTACAGATGTTTATTCATTTAGGATTGTTTTATAACTACATACATGTCACATGTGCATGTGTTAAACATCCTATATAATAAAAGCCCAGCAGCCAAACGGCAGAACAACCAGAATGACCTGTCGACCAGTCGCTATGACGTGCACTGACCACCAGGGGGCAGATGCTCAATGCAGGAGCTGCCCCCTGGTGGTCAGTATGCTCTCACAGTGGGAGTGCCGCTCGGCTGACTGGGTTGAGCAGTGCTCCCACAGCAGGCTGATCCCCGCGGGCCACGCCCACCCCACCAGTGCATGAATCCCGTTCACCCGGCCTCTAGTTATAGAATAAAAATTAACTTTAAAGGGGGAAATTTTTGCAGTGAAGCTGAAATAGTTCTACTGTAAACTTTTAAATCTGTATTCCCAAGTTTTCTACTGTAATATTTCACTACTAACATTCTTTATTCAATTTATTTAAACTAAAAAAAAGTTCACTAATTTATCCTACCCACCCTCACCCCCTGCAACCACCAATTTTTTCTCTGTATCTAGGAAATTTTTTAAATTCACATATAAGAAAGATCATATAGTATTTGTCTTTCTCTGTCTTATTTCATTAAGCATAATGCCTATGAGGTCCATCCATGTTAGAAATGGCAAGGTTTCTTTCTTTTTTTCCTTTGGTGGGGTTAATCCTTACCAGAGGATATTTTCCCCATTGCTTTTCAGAGAGAGTGGAAGGGAGGGAGAGGGAGAGGGAGAAAGAGAAACATCGATGTGAAAGAGACACATGGACTGGTTGCCTCCCAAATGCGCCCAGACCAAGGGGCAAACCTGCAACTCAGGGACACGCCCCTGCGGGCCAGAGCTCTAACCACGTAGCACACCGGCCAGGGCAGTATTTTATTTTTTATGGCTGAATAATCATCCCATTGTATACAGAGGTGGGAAAAGTAGGTTTATAGTTGTGAGTACACAAAACAGTTTATTCTTGTGTTATTGTTTATTAATTATTGTATTCTTTATTGTTATTATTAATCTACTTTTGCCCACCCCGGAATATATACACCAGAGTTGCATATATATAATTTTCAACTACAGCTGACACAATACCACATCAGTTTTAGGTGTACAACATAGTGACCAGACATCTATAATGAAGTGATCACCTTGACAGGTCTAGCATCTGACACTATACACAGCTATCACGATACTATTGACTATACCCTCCATGCTGTACTCCATATCCCCATGACTGCTCTTATAACGGGCAGTTTGACATCTTAATCCCTTTCCTGACCTATTCCTGCAACACCTCTTCCCTCTGGCAACCATCAAAATGTTCTCTGTATCTATGAGTTTGTTTGTGTATTTTTTTCTTTAGATTCCACATGTAAGTGAAATCCTAGCATTCGTCTTTCTCTGTGTGACCCATTT